CACGCACCAGGGATCACCTGGGCCAACCTCTCTCCCTCTTTCTCTAACAGTATGCGGTTTCATGTAGCTATGTGGCTCGCCTGCCTACAATCATCTTCAGAATCAACGGCAACGACTACCCAGTGCCCCCTCAAGCCTACATCAGAAAGGTGAAGGGCCAACCCTGGTGGAATTGCAGAAACCCTTGGGCTCCTGCTTGCAGGAGGGGGCCCTCTGCAGGGCAAGCCACACCATTGCAGATGCCACGGAGCCCCTGTGGCTGGGCCAGTGCCTCCCACAAAACCAACCACTTGAGAATAAGGGGCAGTCTGGGACTTCCATCATCCTGAAATAAATGGAACACTGCCCCGTGCTGGCCTGGTGTGAGGCACAAGGAGAAGGGAACACTAAGGGCCTCTGCCCTCAAGCAGCTTCAGTTCAACCTGAGCCCTCAGATAGATGAACACGGAAAGTCAGCTCTAGCAATCCCTGCAATAGGCCAAGGGACAAGTGGGGTGGGTGGCCACAGTCTCAGCGTGTTGTCCCACCATAATGGTTAACGGTCTCCCTCCCACCTCGAAGGTGTCCTGCTTTGGATGACAAATTACATGGCGACCCTCGTCCTCGCCTGCGACTTCCCCTTGCTAAGCCCCAGTTCCCACTCTGTGAGTTGGGGTACCAGACCCCTCTGTGGGGAGGCTGCATGCTCCCGTGAATTAAGGGTGCACAGTGACCGCACGGCCCTTGCACAGGGTTGAGGCTTAATGTCAGTTCCCTGTGGGAGTTCAGAGGAGGCTGATGGCCTCAAAGAAGGCTTTGAGGAAGAAAGGGAATGTCAGTCATTCTAAACCCCCAGCCTCATGGAGGCATGAGGAGGCCTGCATGGGTCCAGGAGAATCTACACTGGACCCCGTGCAAATGGCACCCCCGGGGGCTGAGCCGAGGGGTGCCGGGCCAGATTAGAATGATGAAGGCTGTACACAAGGGGAGCACCAGGGTGAGTCACCCAACCCGGCCTGGAGTGGCCAGGGAGGGTGAGCGTGGGGCCAGGAAGCCTTCCTAGAGGGGCTGAGCGCAGTCTCTAAGAACGGGTCGTGGGGAAGAGGGAGAAGCAAAGGCATTCCCTGCAGAGGAAACGGCGAGCAGGGTCAGAAGGAAGGAGGGGAAATACAGGCCATCCTTGCTCTTTTTAACATTTTATTCAAGTATAGTTGATATACAGTGTTGTGTTGATTTCTGCTGTGCAGCAAACTGACTCAGTTATACATGTGTTTGTATCCTTTTTCTTCTTCTTTTCCACTAGTTGATCACGGGAGCTTGAATAGAGCTCCCTGGGCTCTACAGCAGGGCCTTGTCGTTCACCCATC